CCAAAGGCTAGATATGTTGGCTATCTATCTCAATCTATTTTCTGCTTCTTTAACACAGTATTTGAGACTTGGTTATTTTAGTACCTTATTTTGATTTATTTGCTGTCTTGTAAAATAGTAACCTGTACCCAGGGCTGATCCTTTCCTTGATCAGAGGAGCCAGAAAAGCATCCACTCTAAGTTGAAGTCACAAGAGTTCGATGGCATGACGTGGTATCAATGGCACATTTGTACCATTTATTGATGACAGCAACTACTTCCTGAGAACGTGTCATATTCAAAGTCACTGACTTGGTCCTTCAGGTCCCAATTCTGTACCAGATCAATAGTTGTAGTCTTCATGTGAGGGCATAAACTCCTTGAACATTGTGACCCAGTGATGCTCATCCCAAAGGAGAAGGCAGCATATTGGCCATGTAGATTGGACCATGAGCCTTTACAGCTTAGTCAGGGACAAGATCATGTGCTAAGTATGTTCAGGTCTTGGGTGAAATCTGATGCTTTTTTCTACATCAGATCATGAATTCTAAGCATGGCCAAACTTTTACTCCACACCTTCTTCAGGAGGAAAGCCTGCTCTGGGGCCCAGGACAAGTGGCCAGTGCTAAGAGACTTAGAGTGAATCCTTTCGGGGAGGGGATACTATGGGGACTGTTTTTACTTTTAATAATGATATAAATAGTATATATATATAATTTGAAATACATAAAATATAATTGAAAAGTATGTATATGCATATAAAATGCATAATTTAAAACTATAAAGATGAATATACTCTCACAAGCCATGGAGGGGTTCAGGATAGAAAGTGAGTGTATCATAGAACTTACATAGGTTTAAGGTCCACTCCAATGATCTTTTAATTCACCTCTTTAAGGACCCATCTCCAAATACAGTCACATTCTGAGATAGTAAGGGTTAGTTTGGACTTTAACATAAATTTGGGGAAGTGGGACACAATTCAGCCTGTGGCAATTATAGATAGGTAATTTGTTTGTTTAGTTATCTCAGGGAGGAGAGCAAATCTGGCTCCTCATATGTCATGAACTTGGCTGGGGGATTGGTCATCATTACTATATATGAATTTTATTTCAAAATAGCAAGGGGAGAATTTAGAAATATTTGTAATAAAATAGGGTGTCTTTCGAAGAAGAGGAAAAAGAGACATAGATACACAAGTGAGGTGATATGGATGAAACAAGGCACAAAACCATCTACACAGGAGAGAGGCCTGAGACAGATTCTCCTCTGCTCTCAGAAGGAATCAGCCCTCCTGACACCTTATCTCAGGCTTCCATCCTCCAGAACTGTGATAAAACCAGTTTCTGTTGTTCAAACCACCTGTTCCGAGGTATTTTATTACAGAAGCCCTAGCAAACTAATATACTAATTATATATAATGACTTTATTGTGATATGAAGAAGAAATAAGTATAATTTACAATAAAATATGCATTTCCATATTTAAATTCTCATGCACAACTATATCAAAAGTCACATTGCTTACATAAACACTGGCTCTCATTCCTCAGTCCCACTAGGGTACCCTGTTAAAACACCCAAAAGTGTCTCATCTCCGAAATATTACATAATAAGGGAGCACTCCCTTTGCTGAAAATTACGGATACATGAGAAAAGGAGAAAAATAAAACATGTAATTTATAGCTATCTTTAGGCTTTGTCCCAGCCATCTTCCCACTCACCCTGTCAGAACTCCTCCTGCCAGAGGCGGCTGAGGGTTAGGACTGTAATGTAGGCCAATTCAAGCAAGTGATAGGCATCTTCTGAACCATTGAAAGCCAAGAGTTTGACACTGTCCTTAAGCCCAGTGTAAGTCTCCTCTTTTGCCAAATGCTGTGGTGAACACCTGTTAACCCAGCTACTCAGGAGACTAAAGCAGGAGGATCACAGATTCAAGATCAGAACTGTGAGAAACTTGAAGCATCGCAAAACCATCAGCACTCTTTCCACTCTTCTTCTCTGCTACTGTCTTCTTCTTAGCAAGACCCTATCTCAAAATAAAATTTTTTTAAAAAGGCTTGGTGATATAGTTCAGTGCGAAGGCCTTGAGGACCCCAGTACCACCAACAAAATAAAACAACCTGCTCATGTGGTTTGAACCTGTGCCCTCAATGTACTTCAAGCTTGGTAGAGTCTGCTAGCTGTGGGGATGCCCTCCTCTCTATGTTTCTGTGTATTCTGTGTGTTTGAGTGTGACTGGGCTGAGGTGCTGCTGTGATTGCTAAGACAGCCCCAGAGAATCTCCTGATCAACCCCACTGTTCATCCCTCTGCAGCTATGCTTCAACAGTTGAATACTGACTGTTGGAGAGGTTCTGCCAGAAAGCCATGGCTTCTAACTAAAACTGGGCCTTCAGCGATCACCCCCCTACCTTTTGTTCCACTCTGCCTGCTACCCAGCCCTGTTTCCACACCATTCGTTCTCAATCTTTTCTAGGCTTCTCAAGCACCCAAATTCCACCTTGTCTCACACACCATAGAAGGAAGGCTTTTGTATATTTTATTGTGACAACCAATATTGTCCAAAAGCACTTTCTTCCTTTTTAATCACCAAATTTCTCTTACTCTTGTACAACAGGAAGAAAAGTCCACTTGTGTTATGTCTTAGTCAATTTTCCCATCGCTGAGACGCAGTGCCCAACAGCAACAACTTACAGAAGGAGAGGTTTATTTTGGCTCACATGTTAGAAATTTCAGTCCTGGTATGGTTGGCAGCATGGTGGAAGGGCCTGGGGAGTAAAGATGCTCATGTGATGGTGCTCAGGAAGCAGAGAGAAGGGAGGAGACACACTCTACGAGGTCACATTCCCAGGGATTGACTTCTTCCAACCAGGCCCACCTCTTTACATCACATTTAACTATAGCACCTCCATGATTCAATCACCTTTCAAAAGCCTCACTTCTGAGAGTATGGGGCTCTTGGGGACACCTAGATATAAACCACAGCATGCTATTTCTTCCTCTTCCAAGGGAACCTCCTCGTTGATTAAATAGCTTCAGTTTTTCCCTCTCAACCGCCTCCTCCTTCATCTATGCTAGAAGGCGTCCTATCTAAGTTAGAACTCTTTGGTTGCAAGAACATTCTGACATCATTTGCAAAGATCTCATATCATGAGAAATGCATTGTTAGGTGATTTTGACATTGGATGAATATCATACAGTGTACTTACACAAACCAAGATGGCTATGATGTCACAAGGTGATATCCTATGGGACTACCCTTGTGTATGGAGCCCATTATTGACTGAAGTGTTGCTATGTGGTGCATGACTGTCATAGAAACAAATTTGAATGCAGCAGCAAAGGGGATTTTACACTTAGTTAACAGGTGTTTCATGAAGCTGCAGAGTAGGAATACCATCGCCCTCTGGAAAGACTTGAACATGAACTGCAAAAGCATCAACATTCTTTCAACCCTTCTTTTTTACTCTCCTCTTTTCATTTTTCTCTTTCCTGTAGCTTCTTGTGGCTTTGTGTCCACATGGTGGAATTCAGTCACAGGAGAGACTCTATGTGGCCTAACTTGGATCATGTACAATTCCCCAGCCAAGTCCATGACATATCAGGGACCAGATTTACTCTCCTCCCTGATACAACTGAATGAACAAAATACAGGACACAATGGGTTGTGCACATGAATAGCTGGTAGTGCAGGCAGTGATCCCTGAGAGATAGGAAGCAGGTGAAGTGAGCCTCATAATGAGAATTTCCAGGCTGCAATGCTAGGAAGCCAAAGAAGATAGAGCTCAGTTGGCTCCCTGAGTCGAGAAGGTGGAGCTGTGAGCCCAGGAAGCCATGGAGGCTGCAGGAAGCAAGACATAGTGCCAGAAGAAAGAGCTGAATGGAGGCCTAGGGGAGAAAGGGGAACCAACTTTGGGAATCAGAAGTACTTCAGCTAAGTACTGATCTGTGCATGCCTGGGAGGAAACTACTTGTGCCCAGGAAAAGAAACCTATGAAAGGAGCAGAGGGAACAATCCTCAGAGTTCTTACAGGTCTGGGAATAGTTTGTGTTCCCACAAGTTAGAAAGGTAAATTTTGGAATTCACAAATATTGAGTACCCAGAAAGATGTGATCTCGGTAGTAGAGAAAAATGACATAGTCCTAAAGTCTGCTCTAAGTCTGCCTAACAATGCTTAAAAGCAAACCTGAAAGAATCAAACTGTTTCCAAGTAACTGCATCCCGGAGCAGGCTCGAGAATATTAATAGAAGGCAAGGTGCTGAGTTCAATCTCCAGTACAAAAAAAAAAGAATAGTAATAGAAATACAAAAATATCTAGCACCAGAGATAAAGTTCATGACACTTGGCACCTACCAAGTCCCTGGCCAAAGGAAGGACACAAAAATAAAGAGGAAGGAAGAATTCTCTGTCTTGAAAAGTCTATGAATGTCAGTCTCCTGCTTTCCCATAAAAGAATATTAGTATTTTCTTTTTTATCCGTCTAAAAACTATAACAAGCATGCACTACTGTTACTATTTTAAAAGGCCAAAGAAACCAATCAGGAAAATGAGAATACCAAGCAAGAAGGGATAAGAATAGTTTCTGCAGCACTTCAAGATTGATTGAAAGTCTTTCTCTTTTTGCCTTGCTTTCTAGAAATTTCTCCCTTTTCTTCTTGCCTCTATCTCTTGCCCTTCCTTCTCTTTACATGCTAAGCTGAACCCAGAGTGCAACTGAAGAATGTTTTTAAAACACGTATGACTACTTTTTGGAGAAAAATTTGCTTGTTTTTTTGTTTTAAAATCGTCAAATTGCAATGTTTCACGTGTACTTGACAAAGAAGGAAAATACTCACCGCCTTCACTAGTAGTTCAGCTATCTTTCTGCCCACTTCGCCACTCTTGGGGTCAATGGCTCCAACAGGTGAAGGCTCTGCCAGCCCTGCTCTATTTGCCTAGAACCCACCTGTCCTGTCCCTGGGCAAACGAGATTGCAACCAGGTCCTGCACCTCCACTTTTCTCTTGGGCAACACCTTTCTGGCATGAAGTGGGACGGCTATGGACTCAGGCTGTTTGTTGGTGAGGAGAGGGAAAATGGAGAGGAGTCAGCAGAATGCAAAGAAAGTCCTGGCAGGGGGCGGGAGAAGAGTGCGGGGCCTGGCACGAGGATGCTCATTGGCGAGAAGCAGAGCGAGAGGAGAGCGCCCGGGCACGGCGAGGACAGGCGAGGAGAGCGCGGAGGGCGCGGCGACTGAGCACCTGGGCGGCCAGACCCTGGGCGCAGGACAGCCGGGCGGAGGGGTCCCGGGTGCTAGGAGTTCAGGACGTGAGTGGTCCAGGGCACATTGGAGGACTCGCGTGGTCCCGCAGACAGCCGCCCACCATGAGCGAGACCAGCCGGCTGTGCTCTGGCTACTACAGCCTCAACCACACCTTCGTGGAGCCCTTCCAGTGCCCCCGGCGCGGCGAGGGGGCCGCGCTCCTCTACTGCTGCGGCTTTGCGGACCTGAAGTACTGCTGCAGCGAGCCGGGCAGCTACTTCCCCTACAAGCACAGCTACATGTGGAGCCTCAGGTGGGTAGGACAGGGCAGGGCGTGCGCGCGCAGCGGGCTGTGTCGGGGTCTGGGGAGGCAAAGAGCAGTGTCACGCCGGAGAAGGGGTGGTCGCCTGCTGCTCTGCTGCCTGCACTGGTCAGGTCCCTCCAAGGGTCGCGAAGCCTCCGAAGCAGTGTGAGGGCCCGGTGGAGAAACCTCACCCCGGTTCGGAACTCCGCCGGGAGCAAGGAGCCTCGGCAAGCACTGGAGGAGCGAGCGTGGGCTCTGGGGCGCCTGGGGCGCACCCGCGGCCTTCCGGACTGGCCTGGCTCGGATCTCCGGCTGCCTCGCAGAGGACTGCTCTCCTCTGTCGCCGGGACAGGTCCCAGGCAGGGAAGTCTGCTGGCAGACAGCGAGGCCACGCTGATAAGTTCAGGTGGAGTTTCATCATCATCATCATCATCATCATCATCATCATCATCATCATCATCATCATTATTATTGTCTTCATTTGGTGCAATTGAACAGAAAGGAGGCTCCTTTGGGACTGTTTAAAGCATCAGGTACTTATAGTCTCTTTGGAAGTGTGAACTATTTGGCTGTATTCTTTAAAATATCAAAAAGGCAGGGGAGTGTGTGTGGTGTGTGTGTGTGTGTTTGCGCCGGTGCACACGTGACACTGGACTTTATGACTTGCTCTTTTCAGAAGATCTGACACTGACTCCACCACCACAAACAAAAAACACCCGCACAAAGATACGGCTTTTAGTTGCTCTGACCACACAACTATGCACAACCTTTCCAGACACCCTCTTTCTCAACCTTTGAGTCTGACCATTGCTGGAGAGCAGCTAAGAAACTTTCTAAGGTGGAGTCTTTCTTATTTTTTCTCTGATGATAATTTTATTTATTCCAGCTAGTATTTATGCAGACATTTTTGTTAAGTGCTTTTTCTACCCTCCTCTCTAAAAGATTATAAACTTTGACTTGATTCTTTCATTTTTTGCCTGGAAAATGAATGGGATCCCAAGAAAAACTTCTACTACTATCTTAAATTGTTTCTTACAAACTTATTAGCTTTTGTCTGGACAAGAAATTTCGCTAGTAAGAATAGCAGAGCTTGGCATGGTCCAGAACTTGGTATACGTGTAGAGTCTATACCACATAACTAAATCTTATTTCCTGAAGCAATAAAATATTTTTTCAGTATTGTAAGCTTCAAAAAGTTTCAAAAGGCATTCCTGCCTTCCAGTAAGTTCACCTCACAAAGTTGTGCTGGAACAGTGAAGGAAAAAAAAAAAAAAAAAGCAAAGAATGCCAATTTATCCTTAGTAGAAATTTGTGCTACACTAACATATTATCTGGCCTTTTAAGAAAATAACAGTAATCTTCCTTTTAGTCTTTGCAGGCATTAATAATGGCCCAGCACCTCCAACAGAGACTGGCAATGCCTAAGTCAAACTCAACTGAAAACTGTCTGAGTGTCTCAGATCCCTAAATAGCTCCCAAGTGACATGCAGCAGAGGATATAAAACAGTTCTATAATTTATGAGGGCACAAAAGAGTGAAGCACTTACAGGGGTCTTCATTTAGGACTGAAGAAATGGACAGTGCAGCCCAGTTCCTGGGAAATAGAATGACTTTAACTATTGGCCTTAGTCAGCAGTGTTAAACCTGGCCCCTGGCAGTTACTGAACTCTGAGAATGCAATGGGGAGGTAAATTTATTAGAGCGTCATTTCCTTCCTATTCTTTTGTCTTTACTCCTAATTTAAAATAGTTTGATTGCAAACAATTATCCAGAAGTTATTAGCCCTTGTCTTGGGATTCTATAGCTGCTGGAGAAAGTGAAGTTGCTAAGTAGGAGAATTGCTCCAGTAATGTGCTGGTAGCATCAGGCTCTCTCTTGGGACTTGAAAAGCAACTGCCATCTGGTGCCTTAAGAAAAGATAATTCTCTCTTTTCTGTGTCTGGCCCCCTCCCATCTTGGCTCCTCTTATAAATCCCTAATGTCTTTGGATTTCCTTTGGTAGTCTTCTTCAGCATCTAGGAAAAAAATGCCCATTGTACAGGGCTATGCATAATGCAATAAGTATTTGTTGAAATGTATATTTTAGGAGACTCCTAGAGCTCCATTTATACCAAGATTTCATGACTAGATTTCATATACATAAAGTAATATTTCTATAATATATGGAGCTGTGATAGCTGAAATAGCATTATCCAGATTATAAAGAATGTTCTTTCATAACAGAAAGCAGAAATGACATGCTTTGTGTTTTTCCTTCAAATTGCATTAGAGTGCTTTTTTAATTTGTGCATTAAAAGTTCACAATGTTTGTTAAACTTAATTAAATTGACAATTTTATATTTTAATTGTCTAAATGACTTTTTTAAACTTTGAAAATGTTTTAATAACCATATTTTCATTTCAGGAATCTATCCAGATGTCTAATCTTCTAGCTGCCTTGTGCACTAAATAATAATAAGTGGATTACATTTCTATGTGTTTGTGTGTAGAGAAGTGATCATAACACTTCCTGACACAATCTAAAAAAGTCACCTTTGGCACAAACAAGCATAAAAGAGGAGTTTCAAGACAGAAAGTCTATCCTCTTAGAGGAAAATGCACCAAAGGATGGGGCTAACATTAATAAACTAAGCATAAGAATCTCCAGGAGTCTGATGTCATGTAGCTCCGGAGGCAAGCTCTCATTTGCAGGAATGCTTTATTTCCTCAAACAAGGACAAGTGGGTTGAGCATAGCCTTCACTTTCACTACTGTTCTCCCACCCAAAGCTACAAAGGTCCTAGCACCCCCAGTCAGATTCTCTTTTCTTTCCCTTTTGCTTATCTGGGCCCTAATCCCCGAGAGAGACCAAAAGCCTAAAGCCAAGACAAGAAAGTAATGAAATTAAAGATTATTAGTTTTTAATACGTGTTCCAAATTACTATGGGTAGATCATTCAGCATCAATTATCATTTACTTTCATTTACTGAATATTTTCTACAAGCTAAGTATGTAAACACTTTTAATAAATCTGCACAACACTGTGGAAAAGTCAACCAAAACTTCTTGAGTAGCTTAAAATCTAATTATAAGTATATATTACATATATAATTACATATAATTATAAGTATATATTACATATATAATTCAAGAAATGGCATATGTTGCATAGTAGGTATTCAAGATGATGCTTTTTTCAAGTTCCTTTTCCCATTTAATAGCACTAAGTTTGCAAGTGTATTAAAAGTATATTATTTCTCCAACCGGGCATTTAGCTCAGTGGTTCCAATGCCTGCCTCACAAGCACAAGGTCCCAAGTTTGATCCCCGGTACCAAAAAAAAAAGTGTATTATTTCTCAAATGATTTGCATTACAGGTAACTGCAACAAAGGAGTTGTTGCAAATTTAGAGCAAAGCAAATTCAATCAGATATGTACCTTAATTTTGGAGAAAAGTACAAGAGTTTGTTCCTTAATGCTAGAGGTCTTTGATGTTATACCCTTCTAGAAAGTAAAAAATTAGATTGATTTTGAACTTCATATAAATTTTATAAACATTGTTTTCTTTTAGTTCAAACCTTCTCTTTTGTAATAGTTGTAATTTTGTGTATCAATAAATGTCATTTCACACATATGTCTCCAAAAGTTTTGTAGTTATAAACATTTGGTTTCCAACTTTCACAGAAGAAAATATTTTTCTATTCACTTTTATTGATAAATCTGGTCTTTCCTTCTAAAACATAGTAATAACAAATATATTTGATTGAGATAATTTTGAACTATCTAGAGAGTCTTGTGATTTTTTTACCTATATAATGAATTTGCATGGTCTTCCCTATAAATATTACCATATAAATTTCAAAGATTCTCAGAAACCCATAGAAAAAAGAAAAGAGTTTGCTGGTAGAGAAAAAAATGAGGTACATATTTCAGTCACTTATTGTTTGTGCTAAAATATAACTTGGTTATGAATGATCAAGAGCAAGAATTAGTAGTTTTTAACCCTTTTCCTTAGTTTGTATGGAAACCAATTTGTGTTTTTCTGTTTTCCTCAGCATTGGTGCTCTGATTGGATTGGGAATCGCTGCCCTTGTTTTACTTGCTTTTGTCATCAGCGTCTGTGTCCTCTGCTATTTATTTCTGTACACAAAGCCTCACAGATTAGACACTGGCCTTAAACTTCAACACCTCGAGGCTTCTTCCTCTCAAGAAGGTAATCAGTGGGTTGGGGATTTAGCTCAGGGGTTCAGGTGCCTGCCTTGCAAGCGCAAGGTCCCAAGTTCGATCCCCGGTACCAAAAAAAAAAAAAAGGTAATCAGTATCCCTTATTTATGATCAGTTATCTGTACTCTATCCAAAATAACAGCCTGTACCTGGGCAACTATTAACAATGAATGGTCTTTAAAAATTTCAGATTACTGTACGTATCTTTGTGAAAATTCACATTGAATCAGCTCTTAATGATTGAAAACCTTCGGAAATTGTGTTCAAGGAAAAAGAGCAGCCTGATGTTAAAGTCCTCCTGAAAAGTCAATTGTTGGTTCAGTAAGTCCACTTTAATATATTTATGTCCCTTTCATTTGCCAAGGTTTATCCTCTTAAAATTTTTAAGATTTGATTTTGGATGGAGTTGAAGATGTTAAATTAAGAATAAAATGCCTGATGACCAATTCTTGGTGCTACTTTGCTCTAGATTTGTTTGTGAGAGATCAGTTAAGAATTTATCTCTGTGGCTACTGTGTGCAGGATTTGGAAAGGGCACATGAAATAATTCAAAGGCATGTGAAAAATACAAAAATAAATGGAGCACAGTCTTTATCTCTACTATTGAATAGATTGCAAAGTAGTTAATATATAGGGGTGTGTATGTGCATATAGTATGACTGTAAAGTACAAAGAATTTTTTATATATCTTTATGTATTCTGGAACTGAGTCTCATTATCTTGGTTATAAAGTGCTATACAAATGCTAGTTGTTATTTTTCACTTGGAAGGAATTGTGAAAATTTTTTGAAAATAGATTACTATTTATTGTATTAAAAAGCACTGATCATTACTTTTATATGTATATATTTAGAATATATTATATACTATATAAATTTAGAATCTATATAAAATGATACACAAGTTCTTATTTGCTTCCATTTAAAAAGAAAAAGAAAATCTTTTAAAAAATTGGGAAAAGTCTCTTTTTGTATACTATATTTTAGCTGAATGCTTAAACTTGTCATGCTTGTGGGATACTCATGCTGAAACCTAACAAATGCATCATCACCATGTGATTGCATGAACTCTCATCTACTTTTTGGTAGATGAAACCTTTCTCAGAGGGTGTCCTATGTCACAGAGTAGGGGTCCAAGTTCCCTCCGGAATTTTCTTCCTAAACCACTGGTTGAAGATTGCATGGACAAAACAATATAATATTAGTTGAATTCAGTCCACATGATTTAGATCCAGTTTCTCCAGAGACAAAGCAAAGTGATGAGTTAGTGATTATCAAATAATCTGGTCATAAAATCATTTTTTGTCTCTATTGCTTAAGTAATTTCAAGTTGTAGGTCTTAAATTTCACTGTATCTAAGAATCACCTAAGGACCTGGTTAAAAACACAAATTCCAAATTCTGCCTTTGTAAACAAGTAGCTCTTCTTCCTGCCTTTGGCCCTGCTTACCTGCTGTAAACTTGGAATAGAGCAGCCAGAGTGAGCCTGTTACAAACCTAAGTTGGGTCACGCTTTTGCTCAAAGCCCCAATCTTTTCCATTTTTCTCAATAGATAAAATTCTTTACTATGACTACAAGGACTTTTGTTGTCAGCCTCCTATTCTACTCGTTTATTTTTCTTACCTCCTTTTCCCAGGCCACATTGGCCCCTGTGCTATTCCTTGAAATGTAACTCAGGGCCTTTGCATATGCTATCACCATTGTTCAGGAGACTCTTTCCTCAAATATCTGCATGATTTGCACCTTTACTTTCTTTAGGTCTACTCAAAAGTCCCCTGCATTTTTAACTTTCATTCAACATCTCATACCCATTTTCTGCTTTATTTTTCTCTGAATCACTTACCACTAACATTATATTTTACTTACCTAGTCTCTTTCTCCACTCCAACCAAAAACTAAGTACCAGGAAAGAAGGAAGTTTTGTCTTGCCTGTTTGCTACTATATCCCCTGTGCCTACAACACTTAACAATTATTTCTTGAATGAATTTAATGGAATAGCACTGCATTTCTATTGTAGGTGATCAAAGGAGCATATTTTGAGAAATATTGACAAAATATTGCCACTATTATGGTCATCAAATATTCACTGAGTGCCTCTTCTATACAATATACTGTACTAAATCAAAATTGGCTATTTTTGGGCTGGGGATTTAGTTCAGTGGTTCCACCGCCTGCCTCGCAAGCACAAGGTCCGGAGTTCGATCCCCGGTATCAAAAAAAAAAAAAAAAAATGGTTATTTTTCCTGATTTAGCTCAAGGATGGCTCTAAAATTTTATTTCACATTGACTCTCAAAAGCCACCAACAAAATTAGTTAGCTTGTTGATTCAAATCTTACAGTCATACTGCTGTTTAGCTAAGGAGGTCTGTTAATGCACTACCTATAAAGTTAGATGAAGCTGATTTCTTTGCAGTGAAATAGCCCTATTCTGCCCCTCTCAAAAATATTCTATGTACCAAGCTAGCAAATTAAATCAATATACCTTTCCTGAGTACTTGCTATTGGCAAGGCAGGTTTTATATGATCAGTGCTTTCCTGTTGTCAAATGAGGTGATTTTGGTCACTTGGGTTGATTTTAAGTAAATCAGACACAGTGGAAAGCCCAAAGCAAAATAGGTGACAAATGCCACTGGAATAGGAACAGAAAATGGCTTTTTATTTGAAGCAGCCCTTTGAAATGGTAATTAAATGTTGCTGTACCCTCTCTTACATATCCATGTTTTACTCTACTGTTTCTCCCTCCAGCAAAAAAAGCCAATATTTAGTTATTTAGAAAGCAAATCTAGAACTTTATTGAATTTAAGGAATGCCTTAAAGGTTAGAAACATCGTAAAATGTTTACATTGTAAATCAGGCAAGTAAACAGTACATCAGAGGAAAATTGATTTCACCGGTTAGGTTTGTTTTTCTTTTTTCCTAAAACTATCTGTTCTTATGGATCAACTTCTCATTATTTTAGATATTTTTTGATAATTTAAACTGTCATTATTACAGGCAATTTGAATAGCCTAAATGGAGATGTATTCTTGTGTATGTATTAAAACTGACTTTGTCCTTTTTAGAAATGACAGTTGTCTAAATCTAAAATAGTCTAATCTTAGATTATTTTGCCAAGATTTTTCCTGGGTATCTTTATTCTGTTATATTTCTATTTTAATGTGTACAATTTAAAGCTTTATACATTTTGAGTTGATCTTGAAAAAGCAGGTCTCTCTCTGGTAGAGACTGTTGACTTTAACTGGATCCCCTCCCCCCCAACCAGGGCTCATTATGTAGAACATCTATTGCTAAGGAATTGACGGGGGGGGGGGGGGGGTGTTATTGTTGTTTTCATGTTTCAAATGGCAATGTTTAAAAGAATATCATGGCTTGAAGATTGTCCTTGTTTAGGACATTCAGTTCGTGAGCGAAAGATGGCTGTGTGAAGGGCATCTTTCTGAGTAGACAGTCCTGAGGGTAGGAGCTTATTTCACAAGTTGAGAAGAATTAAGGGCTAATAGAGGGATGGGTGTCATAGATTCCTGCTTCTGTAACCTTTCCATCAATGAATCGTTAAAAGCAAATCAGAAGTGAATTCATACCTCAGAATTTTAAAAAATAGCATAAAATGCCTGCCTTAAGCCTGATGAGCTGAAATCCTTTGTAATTTCTCACTTTGTTTTTAAAATTGATGGGACTTTTCAGTTAGACTCTACAATATAATGACTTGCTTTACTCTAATAATGACATTTTCTACCTCCCATGTCCAAAATTGCTGCTCCAGGAAGATAAAACATATTCATCCTGTGGCTTTGAATATCCATTGATATCCTGGCATCGTGGAAGTTATGGGGAAGGAGAAGAGAGGTTCTAGAAGCAGAGTTTTTGATAAAAATCAGAGGAACAGATATTAAGACAGCTGCTTGTTACAGATAAAATAATACAATTATATAGGAATAACCTATTTTGTAGTCTCTTTTGTAAAGGCAGATGATATAAATGTAAAATAGCAGCAAGGCACAGTTGTGTAGGGGAAAACAAATTATATATGGATTGCTGAGAAAATAAATTGGAAGATCATGTCATCACGTATTTTGTCTCTGAGCAAAATAGGACTTGGACTAACTTTTCTTCCAGTTCATGTTTATTGTGGGAAAATTAGAAAATATGGAGAAACAAATAGTCACTCATACTCCCTGCATATAAAATCACAGATATTAAAATTGTGGTGAATATCTTTTGTGGACTTTTTCTATGCATCTATAGATACATGTAAATAACAAAATGGGATAAAGTGAGTCTTACGCTTTTTCTTCACTACACAACATTGACATCTTTTTCTTTTTTCTTTTTTTGGTACCAGGGATCGAACTTGGGTGCTTGTGCTTGCGCAGCAGGCAGCGAAACCACTGAGCTAAATCCCCAGTCCCATCATTGATATCTTTTTAAAAAGCAATAAATGAATATTTTTGTCATTTTAAATCCTTTTTATTACTTTGATGGAGCATCACGATTTTAAAATTTTGATATAATTTCATACTTCCAAAAATGTTTCAAGAAATATATAGCCCTTATATTCATTTCCTTAGGTTATTAATTGTTAATATTTCATTTATCTCATCAAATTCTCTATAAATATTTTCAGAACCACCTGCTTTTTCAGCTCTAAATTTGTCAGTGTTTCCTAAAAACAAAGATTTTCTCTTACATAATCATTGTATATTTATCAGAGTCAGGAAATATAACATCAGTATGGTAATATTATCTAATTTGGAGTTTATATTCAAATTTTGCCAATCTCTTTCTTATTACTATGTAGTCCAGAGTAATATCTTATAATTAGTTTCATTTCTTGTTTCCTTTCATTCTCAGCCTTTCTTTGTCTTTTGTGATCTTGATATTTTTGAAAAGTAAAAGCCAGTTATTTTGTTCACTGTCCCCCAATTTAGTTTGTCTTGTTTTCTCATGATTGAGAGAGATCATATATTTTGACAGGAGTATCACAAAAGTTACAGTCCAGGACATGATAGACAGCACACAGTAGTGTATTCATTTATTCCCATTGTTAGTAATATTAAGTTGAATTGCTCAGTTAAGGTGGTAGTTTCTGGATTAATCCATTGTAGTTACTAGTTTTTTTCATTGCAATTTGTAAGTAATTTGTGAAGAGGTACTTTTAGACTATGAAAGTATTCTGTTCCTCTAATTTTCATCCAGTCATTGATGATTCTTGATAATTACTATTATATTATTGGTAAAATGGTAATTTTTCCAACTTCTTTATTCCTTCTGTATTTGTTTTGAGAAAACTCATGGATAAGAATAAATGGTCATAGAATATT